TTTTTCTCAAAAATAGCTTACGATTTGCCAAAAAACTATATCAATACGTCGTTGTAATGCATGAGAGTAAAGTTTTCGATGCGATATGCGACTGAAACTACATTTTGAGTCATTTTGTATTTACATTTACTTACAGCGTCCGCCATTTTTGGGCCCTGGCAGGCCCCATTCAGCCTAAGATGACTGAGTAAAATAGAGGTAGTAACAACAGTAACCATGCTCTCATTATAATGGTACTCCACGATCCTGTAACCAGCATGACTGATGTATGCAAAATGTTTTGCGTTTTATCTTTGGTTTGATGGAACCTTGCCTAAGGCAGTAGCAACCATGGAAGCATCGCTGTGAAGGAAAGAAATGTCAGTATCATGTTGTGTGAGCAGATGCATTCTGAGCGATTGTTTCCGCGAGTTGACATAACTGCAGAAGGGGCACGCGAACTCTTGTTTGTCGAGAGTGTTGGCGCAGTTTTCCTTCTGGTGTTGCTTTAGATGGTGCTTCCACTTGAAAGTCTTGAGGCAGGCGTCGCAGGTGTAGCGCTTGGTGTCGCCTTTCTGCAGACATTCGTGTCGCATGTGTCGCACCATCGAGCCCTTGTTCAGGTACGATTTCTCGCAGAAGGGACAGGCGAAGGGTTTCTCACCGCCCACGCTCGTGTCTTTGCTACCAGAGCTCCAAGAGCCTTGCCCACCTACAAATCAAAGTCCATCTTTCATTAATCCAAATGAGGGTCTCGGAGGACAAGGCGCATAAGTGCAGTTTTCAAAAAAAAAATTGACATTAGTGGTTCAAACTAAATATCGACGGTGAAAGTCGGCAATCACATAACTCGTTTGCGGTGTCTGAAAATCTCCGCCTCTACATTATTTTTTTAAAAGAGAACAAATTGACATCATTCCTTGAAGTTTTTGCAGAATTTTCTTCGCACCGAGAAGAAAAATCATGGCAGTTTTAAAGAGTTGCCGTTGAGTAGTTTCCCGTTTAAAAAATAAAGTATGACAGGAAGTCTGCGACGTCGCAAACCGAGTTATGTGATTGCCGACTTACACCGTCGATATAGGTTTGAAATAAAGTCTGTGAAAGATTCACTGGTAAAATCCAATACGTAAGCATCGAAATGCGAGTTTGAACTCTCTTTCCGCCATAAGGCTTCATTTAATTTAGAAACTCTAAACACGTTTTTCTCGAAATAGCAAAAACTGCACTCATGCGTCTTGTCCTCCAAGCCCCTTAAATGTGATCGTTTATGGGAAAAGAGCCGTCAGTCCTAGGAGCAAAATTTTTAGAATAGCCATTTTTTTCGAGTCTTGTCGGAAAATCTCAGTTCGATATTTCGACGTAGAACTTTCCCTTCAGCATCTTCTTCTTCTTTTACATAGCGTGCAATCCCTATTTCTCGAGTTATTATCGTATCAGGTAAGTATGAAAGGAAGAAAATGGATAACAATTTATGAAAGTTAATACATATTTGTATTAATCCAAATTGGTAGCTCCAATAACGGCTCAATTTTGAGTTTTTGTACCCCATGTTCCCTGTGCCCGTGGACGATGACAAATAATACTGAGGAGAAATCACTTAATGTAATTAAGAAAGTTGTCATTGAAGTCTTGTCATTTTACCTCTGAATCTTTATGCATTGTATTCGTCGTTTAATCCCGAGTTTCGGAAAATGTTAAATAGGTACGTTCATGCCTTTCTGAAAAAATATTTTGATGCGGGAAATTTGGCAACACTCGAATGCTCATTGGATGTTTTTCCTCAGCTTCACTACGACCTCATTTTCATTTCAAGAGCGATCATTGGGAAAAAAAGTTACAAAACTAAGATAAAATGGGAATCTAAAAATCGGATGTAATATATTAAAAAAAAAAAACAACTAAAAAGTATGGCAAATCAAAAGCTTTATTTTTTTTTTTTATTTTTTTTTTATTTTTTTTTTTTTTTGTCAAGCGAAATTTTATTCAGTAAGTACATATTTACAAAAAATTGTAATGTGCGTATCCTATTACTAATTTTCTTAGGTGATGATAGATATAAGTTATATATAGTGATAAAATGATGTGTGTGATAACAAAAGAGACAATTAAAGTAAGGAGATAGTTAATAAGATAATAGTATAAGTTTAGGAAATAGGGTCAAGAGTTTACTTCGCGAGACATGCCGGAATTACCTTCTGGTATATCTTCGGCTGGGGGTGGGGTTTGGGTGTTGAGTAAAGGTTGATTCTGGTAAAGAGGGGACTTTGTTGTTAGGATGTCTTTTGCGTATTTTTGAATTAGGTTCCAGTTTGTGGGACATTTTAAAATGGTTGTTTGGAAGTTTGAAGGGGTAAGAGTGGTGTCAAGTTCTAAGTCTAATAAGCGTTTCTTATTAATGAATCGGGAGCATGAGAAAAAGGTGTGTTCCGGCGTGTCTCGCTCTATAATACAAAATTTACAGTTTTCCGAATCGGTTTTCTTAAATCTAAATAAGTAGGTTCCAAAAACTCCATGTCCTGTGAAGAGCTGCGTCAGCCAAAAATCCGGATATCCGTAGTTTCGCCTAAGCCATGAGTCTGGGTCCGGGATCAGTTGCTTGCACCAGGAATCCCCCGTGTTGTCCCTCCAACGACCACACCATTCAGTTAAGATCTCATCATGGATCTCCTCAAAATTCTCGGCTTTCAAGGATCTCCTAAACTTTTCCTTCATGAGTAGGTCCGTTGGAGGAACACCGGTCAGGATATCGAGACAGTTGGCAGACGCAGTCCTGTAGGCCATGCATAATGCTCTCTTAAGAGGACGTAAAGTCTTGGTGATCTCTTGAAGGTTGTATTTTAGGCTAAGAGCAGGTGAGTCTCCCCAGGCCGCAATTCCATAGAAAATTACAGAAAAGACAGCCTGAAAGATCATCATTCTGCGTCTATATTGGGAGCCGAAGCAGCAAAAGCTTTATTTAGCATATGAATGGATTAACAAAACAAATATTTATACACATTTTGGCATTTAGGTAAACCAACTGAGTCCATTGTTGGACCTTATATGCTAGTCGTTTTTCCCCAGCTTTGGATAAGCCACCTACCGGTTAAGCAGGCGAGCTATAAGCTCTTTAGTTTTCAGACAACAGGTTTCTAAAAACACCACAACGACACGATGAGTCAGGTATGCTTTTGTGATGCACATTAAACGTTACTACTTTCGAATGAGCAATAAAGGATAACAGAGGTCCAAATGCCATAATTTTTCGTTAGAAAATAACGAGGACACTACCTTTGGGAGAACAAAAACAGAGACGTCATTTGAGTTAGTAAGCTCTATCTCATCGGGGTTTCGTGGGTTGGTTTTTCCTAGAGTACCTGTATAGGGAGAGTAGCGACAGATCTGAAACTCCGAAAGTCCATCAGGCCTTCACCGATGCCTCCGCGAATAAAGTTAGGGCCCAAAAGGGCAGCCAACCTATGAATTTCGAATGTCCAGAGCGATTTACAAATACAATTGTTACGAACCGTCGTTTAGAAAGCATGTATTTGGTTTACTTTTGGCATAAATTTACTTATTTTTGCGAAAGAACGCTCATTTATATACATTCTTAGCCATCTTGGTTAGAATTGAAATCTGTAGGCTGGCAGTGAAATTTTGTGTGTTAGAAGTTGCTCAGAAGGGTGGCTGCACTTTTGGGCCCTAAGCCCTCCATGAACCGATCTGTCGCTACTCTCCCTATACAGGTACTCTAGTTTTTCCTCATGACGTGAAATTTCCTAACATGTTCCGGTTTTAACTGACGTTAGACACCCTGATTTACTAATTGTAAGACGCGACGCCGCGACGTACGCAACAAGGAAAATTGGACTGCGTTAAGCAGAAAGGAACCAAGTGGCAACAGCTATTGCCAAATTTAATTGGGCGATTCAATTTTTTTATAAGGAAACGTTTGTGCGAATTTTTGTGCAAATTTCAGTGAGTTTTCTGCATAATAAATTCCTTAAAACTTTAAAAGAAATCCGCTTAAACGTTCTCCTGTAAAAAATCAAATTGCCAAGTTTTTGGCGATAGCTGACGTGGCTTGGTTCCTATCTGCTAAACGCGACCAAATTGTGCTAAGTGGGGTGGTGACGGAGACAAGAGACCCTCCATGGCCTCTTGGCGACAGGTAGAAGCTTAAACTTTCGGGGGTTCAACAGTTCCTTATGGACAATTGTAAGGAAACAATATTCAACACTATTTTTTCGGATGTTGACCTACCAACATGGAGGATGATGAGCTTCGGGTGACGTTATGAGCCCAACAAGTTTCCGAAACTTCGGCTTGTTTGCAAAACGACACTGCCAACACGTTGTTGAAAGCCTACACACTCAGAAGTAATTTAACAGTTTAATGTTGAAGTCCCGAAAGTAAAAGCTTCCACCAATGCAGAGATACGAGTGGAGGGTCTCATGTCTCTAGTCTCTGGGAGGTGGTATTTAGGGAGTGGCGGTGGGTACATCCAGAGACAAGAGATCCTCTTGTGGGCTCTTGGCGACAGGTGGAAGCTTTTACTTTCAACAGTTCCTTAAGGTCTCGATAGATGATCAAATTCCGAACCAATTCCGATCAAAGTAGACCAGTTGATGACTGATGGTCACCATTCAACAGTCCTCTTTGATCAAAATTGGACTGGCCGTCAAATTTTGATCAGAATGGAGAGCCACCATTCATCATTCCTTGACTCTCGAAACATTTCTGCAAGGTTTCCAGTTGAAAATTAGGCGAAGTAACGATTTTCAGACTGATGACTCCCGACACTTTGATGGTAATTGGTTCGGGAATTTGATCGTGTATCGAGGCCTTCATGGACAATGATAAGGGAGCAACAGTCATCACCTTAATTTCGGCTGTTGACCTACCTACATGGTGGATGATGAGCTTCGGGTGACGTCATGAACCAAACACGTTTCCCAAAGTTCGGCCATTTTCGGCTTGTTTGCAAAACGAAACTGCCAACACGTTGTTAAACATCAACCATGTAGGTAAGTCAACAGTAGAATGCTGAAGTCCCGAAAGTGAAAGCTTCCACCATGGCCAATATACTAATGGAGGGTCTCTTGTCTCTGGGTACATCACTCGTTATGGACGTTTAGGATATGGTCTTTGAGGGAGCTCTTCTGTTTGGTGACGAAGGGGCAGAGGGTGCAGGTGAACTGGCGCTTGTCGAGGGCCTGGGCGCATTCGTTGAGCTGGTGCCGACGGGCGCTCACCTTCCAGCGGTAGACCCTCCCGCAGAGGTCGCAATAGTGGAGTTTGGGCACCTCCGCGTGGCGCACTCTGGCGTGTCGGTCCCGCGACGTTCTCCATGCGAACCCTTGGCCGCAGACGCCGCAATGGTATGGATACGACTTCCCGCCCTGCACGTCCTTGTCTCCTTTTGCGCCCTTCGCAACTGTGAAGAGAACAACTGTTGATATCAGACGTTCAGAGCATTTTCCAGGACTTTAAAATGAAAGTTTCGATGGCTTGTTGAAAAATTCTGGAGTTCTATAAAGAGTATCCGAAACTTGGAAGCATCCTCCGGCTTGGCCAACAGGTTGCTAATGACATCCTTTAGGGACTTAAGTCGAGGAGTTTCAAGGACTCAGGGGCCGTCCTTAAATTGCGTAACGATCTAGGGGGAGGGGGGAGGGTCAAGGAGATTGTTACATAAAGGATAGAGGCCTACGTCATAAAAGCGTTACAAGGATGGGTAAGAAATGTCGAAAAAGTGCGTTACGTAATTTAGGGCCGGCCTATTACAGAATAAGGAGTTTCTGAAAAAAAGGCAAAAATTGGAAGTCTACTATACCTTCATAGACAGCTTGTTAATTACAACTTTCATGAACCTAAACCCAGAACTTCCCAAGACTTTCAACGAGATATAATCTGTAGGAATCGGAAATTATGAGAACTGTTGGAAAAACATTTCAGGAATTGTTAAACAGAGCCGATCTCTTGAGAGAGTGCCTGGCTGCCCGGTCTTTTCTTCTTGCACCTTGATTTTCCACTGAAAGAGGGGATCTCATTTTATGTTGTCAACACAACAACGTTAGAAAGACGGGCTGAACTCTTAGGCTGTTGTATTGCAAGAAGCATTTTCAGAGGAAATTGTGGCCAGTTCATGGGATACGAAATTTTGAAGTTTCCGGCCAATATTGGCTTCAATATTAAGTTTTTTAAATGAGAAAAAATGTATCCTACTGCAAGTATGTTCTTGTTTAAATAGAAAAGAAGTTATTATTTCCATTAAACTACTTTGATACTATTATTATGCGCCTCAGAGTCAACCTGTGCTGAAATCTCATGCAATGTTCTTCTTAAGCATGGCGGATCACCGGAGGCTGATAATTTTATAAAATGGGGTACCAGAGCCAAAGAGCATGCAAAATGCCTGAGACATTTCGGAGTGAAATATAAAATTAAGAAAAATCAAAAACTCTTAGACCCCAATGTGATAATTTGTTTAACAATGAAATAAATAGGCTCACCGGAAACTTCTTTCTTATGCTGACGCGACCATCTTGTGGCGCAGGTGTTGCATCTAAAACAATTTTCTCTATCCTTGGCAGGTATGTATGCCTTCTCATTCTTCCCATTCCTTTGCTTCCGCCCACATTGAATGCATACTTTCAGCTGAAAATAATCACAGAAAAATCCTATTAAGATAGTTTCCAACCGTGGAACAGTTAGAGAGCAAATAAATGTGAGAGAAGTTTGACAAGCTCTTGTATGGAAAGATCCCTTGAGATGATTCATTAGTGGAACTAAATGGAGGCATTCCTCGGCATTCGTTGCCTTGAAATAATGTCAGCAACAACGTCGAGATACAAGGCCTTGTCGAGCACTCAGTGGAGAAAATGTTTTGCAATCATTCCTTCTTGCTCTCAACAATGAATCTGTCATCGTGTAGGTGAGCTACACAGAGTTAACAGTGACATATATGAAAGAATGCCTCGAGTTTAATCGGAGACACATCACCATGAAAGCTGTATTATACTTTCCAAGAATATTGAACATCCCCACCCGTCATTTTGCATCATAAGTATCACCGCTTTGAAATCTCTAAGGCTCATAAGACGCTTATGTGATTCACAACTTTCAACTCGTCTGTTCATGACATCTAGGGGCCTTGCACACATTGTGCTAACAAGGGGAGTCTACGAAGTGACATCCTGGGATTGGGTTCATTTTGCTTGTACATGAAGAAGAGACAAATCTAAGGTTGACGTATTTTTTTTTTAGCCGCCACCTCCCAACCTAAAGTTACGATTTTTGCACGTTTCCGCGCGGAGTTCCGGCGAGTCAACTGAGCGCCGGCAAGCTGCACGAAGCGCGTTTCCTATCAGCGCTGCAGACCGGCCATCCTTATCAACTGATCCGTGGCCGAGTGGTAGAGTGTTCGCCTACCGTTCCATCGATCGCGGGTTCGGATCCCGCTTCGTGCCGCAGCTCTTATGGTACGCCGCAATGCGTTTTTACAAGTTTTCTTTATTTTTATCACACACCAAGGGGTCCGCCCCCTGGCCGCTGCGCGGCCCAACCCCCGGGGCGAAAAGGCGCGCTTCGCGGC